TTATATATGTGTGTGTGTGTGTGTGTGTGTGTGATTGCCATGTTATAGAGCTTATAGTAATTTTTCTCAAAAACAAATAGTATTCTGGAATCATGTATATCCATTTTTGTACAAATAAAAACATTAGACATGCCATCAAAATTCACATAAAATTAAGGTCAGACATACAAACATGAAATATTCAGTCCCCTTCATATACCCAAACATGGAACACCCAACTTGAGCAAAAGGTCACACAAAATAACTGTTAATGATTATGTGAATTTAGTATTAGGTCACATTTTATCAAAATTAGGTCACATTTTACCAAAAACTTGTGAATGATCAAGAATTCAATATTATCAGAAATTAGATCACATTTTACCAAAAATTTGTGACCTAATATCATGTCATAATATACAAATATTATATTTCATTTTATCAAAATTAAGTCACAAACACCTCATTCACATCATATTCAATATATCCATATGTTGGATTTAACATTACAGTGCATCTAAACAAAACATAAACTATATCCACAGGATTTACTTTATTGGGTAAGGATTTGCCGCATGAACCAACTTTTTTTTTCAAAGAGGTTCTTGAGGATTTTCTTTCTTTTCTTATATCTTATACTTTTCGAGGTTCTTCTTTCTTATTAGAATGAGAATCACGTCCCACACTTCTGGTCAACACTATTTTCTTCAATACAAGTTTGTGAATGTTTGAATAGTAAAATTTTTCTATTCAACTTACTGACCCTAAAAACTCATCTCCAAGCTCGAATTTGTGATTCAGAAAAACCCACCGAAATTCTTAGCTCCAATTCGAGGCCTATAAGACCAATATCATTTTCCACTGACTTCACATTCTCAATTTCACCTCATAATGGGGATGGGTTGGCTTTTTTACTCATGCCCATGAAGTTTATGCTTATTTCATCTCCTTCCCACAAATTATATAAAAGATTTCTTCTAATAAAATTTTTGGCCTAAATGAAAGATTTTAAGGTTACTGAGCATTCATGATTTGCTCCAATTAACTAGCCAATTCAAATTGGCAAACCTATTTTTGAAAATGGGGGTTAGGGGTGTTCCCTTGAAAAGGGGTTTTGGTTTTTTGCTTTTGGTATTTGTGGGTTAAACTTGTCGATGAAGGGAACATTTTTTGATAATTTAGGCGGTGGTGGGTGGTGGTTTGAGTATGGACTGTCGGTGGCACCATTTTCGAGGAAGGGTGGTGTTTTTCTTCTTCTTTTTTTCTTTTGATTTTTAAGTATATATTTGTGACTGATTTGTAATTTTTTGAAAATTAAATGTTATAGTTGCAATTAACTCTTTCTTTTCTTTTTTATTTTTTTTATTTGAATATGGGGTAAAATCGTATTTTTATTGAAAAATGGGTGAAAACGACTTTTTGAACAATGAAAGGTGAAAATAGAGATAAAAAATCAAAATATAAAAGGTATGGATGTGAAACGTTTTGTGCTATTTACTCTTTTCATTTACAACTCAGAGTCCAAAATATTTCATCTGTGGACAGATTCTGTGGGCTTACAGGAGAGCCCATGATAGCCAAGTAATCCTTAAAATCTCTCTCCTATAACCACTCAGCAACCAGAACTACTGCCATGGCATTCACACTATTTCAATCCACACTCTTCTCAAAGCCATCTCTTTTCTCTTTTCCTTCAGACAAATTCCAGCCCCACAAGAAGTGGAGGCAACCAGTGGCATCAGTTCTCGAGCTTGGTGGCGTCAAAATTGCCAAAGATGGGAACATGCCCACTTCTAGAAATTACATTTTTCTTCAATTGCTTCACTTTGTGATTGGCTTTTTTTGATGTAGTATATGAATTTACTGTGGGTGCTTTATATTGTTACAGTTTGGATCGCATTAATTTCTTGTTGTAATCACTATGAAAGTTCGTATCTTGATTGTCCTACTACGACTTACCCTATCAGATTTTTTTTTTCTAGATGGGTATTTATGCAAATCCAATAATTGGATTGATTATTGTTTCGGAAAACTTGAATATCTTTGACTTAAAAAGGCGGGTTTTGTGCAATTGATAGTGAATAATGGGTAAGCACCACTTACAAATAGCTTTACTCATTAAAGCAACACTTACAAATAGCTTTACTCATTGTTATTTTGAAGTGAGTGGAATAACAACCAAAGAGAATGAGCACCTTTTATTCTAGGATATGTGTTTTGTGTATATGCAGATTGATTATGGCTTAATGGAAGGTTTTGCTTCTTGTGTTGAAAGTTTTTCAATTTATGCATGTGCTGAATTTGGGGGTTGTCAAAAATGGAGTAGATTTTTTCATATATTAATATTTGTTCCCATTTATTTAATGGTTGTGTGATCATGCCATATTTCTCGAATCATCGTTTGTCAACTTATGGAACTTTGAATGATTAAATTTGCTGAAATAGTAAGAGATGACCCAACAAACAATGTTCCTGATTCAATATTCTCAAAGCTTGGAATGCAACTTCACAGGAGGGATCAGCATCCCCTTGGCATCCTGAAGAATGCAATGTATAACTATTTTGATACTAATTATCCCAAGAAATTTGACAAGTTTGATGATTTGTGCCCAATAGTTTCGACTATTGAGATAGGTCAATTGGTCCATAAAGGAATTTGAAGCTTGCTTTTCTTCTTCTTAATTAACATGGCATATGAACTGGCAATGCTCCTAACTATGATTTTATTTTGATAGTGGTGATCAAATGTTTGGTATATTCTCCCTGTGAAAGTTTACCATTTTCTTATTTAATATATTATTTCGGTTTTAATAGGGTTCGTCAATAAGTCCCCCGCTGTACTGATAGTTCTTTAAGCTTATAACAATCAAACGCCAATTAATGCTATAAAGGAAAAAGCTCTTAAAGGTTTAGGTGATTTTTTTGTTCCTTAATTAATGCTAGCATAGAAGAGATGAGGAGCTAGGCAGCAGGCAGGATATTTAGAATGTGGACACTCTATGAAATAACTATGTCAATTGACTTGAACAACACACATTAGACTTAAGTATCTAGGGGACATAAAATCTCCAATATGACTTTGCTTGCGTACCAAAGAGTCTTGGGAACTGAGTAAACATTTTCCAATTCATGACAACTGGACTTCATCTCTTTTGAAGTGAGTGGAATAAAAGCCAAAGAGAATGAGCACCTTTTATACTAGGATCTGTGTTCTGTGTATCTGCAGATTGATTATGGCTTAATGGAAGGTTTTGCTTCTTGTGTTGAAATTTTTTCAATTTATGCATGTGTTGAATTTGGGGGGTTGTAAAAAATGGAGTAGATTTTTTTTCATATATTTATATTTGTTCCCATTTATTTAATGGTTGTGTGATCATGCCAGATTTCTCGAATCATTGTTTGTCAACTTATGGAACTTTGAATGATTAAATTTGCTGAAATAGTAAGAGATGACCCAACAAACAATGTTGCAGATTCAATGTTCTCAAAGCTTGGAATACAGCTTCACAGGAGGGATTAGCATCCCCTTGGCATCTTGAAAAATGCAATCTGTGACTATTTTGATACTAATTATCCCAACAAATTTGACAAGTTTGATGATTTGTGCCCAATAGTTTCGACTATTGTGGTAGGTCAATTGGTCCATAAAGGAATTTGAAGCATGCTTTTCTTCTTCTTAATTAACAAGTCATATGAATTGGCAATGCTCCTAACTATGATTTTATTTTGATAGTGGTGATCAAATGTTTGGTATTTTCTCCCTGTGAAAGTTTACCATTTTCTTATTTAACATATTATTTCGGTTTTAATAGGGTTCATCAATAAGTCCCCTACTGTATTGAAAGTTCTTTAAACTTATAACAATCAAACGCCAATTAATGCTATAAAGGAAAAAACTCTTAAGGGTTTAGGTGATTTTGTTTTTTTCGTTAATTAATGCTAGCAGAAAAGAGAATGAGACCAACGGTTTTCCCAAAAATTATATAGAATTTATAAAAAAAGGGGTTTATATTCAAGTCATAATTTTTTTATAAATAGATCAAATTTAGATTATATTAGAGGTCCTTGACATTTATTTATCATCACACTTATATTTTTAAATTTTTTTTAATTACGTTCTTATTTTTAACATTTTATTGATATTTTTCTCTATCCTTATCATGATTTTTTTTTTCAAAAATAATTTTAATATTTTTAAAATTAGGGTAAAATATTTAATCACAATTTAATATTATTGTTTGTTTTGCTTATTTAAAATAAGAATGGACAAATAAGTCCGTTTTAATCTATCTTAAAGAAAATTTTGAAGAAGAATCATCATCAGGAAAATTTATAGAATCATATTACAATGTTAGAGAGGTTGACATAATTCTTGACATAATATTACATGTCATTCTACCATTAAACTGTTTAAAAGACAGTCAATTTTTTCATCTAATTATATATTGCCAACACTAATTATATCAATGCATCTTTTAACATCGTTCTGATAAAGTAGTTTTATCCAAATTTATATTAATTTGAGAATAAGAATGCGATAAAAGAAGGTTTGAAACATAAATATGATAATGTGTAAATGTTATAAATTTTTAAAGTAATTAAATTTTATCTAGATATGAATATACTCTTTCTGTCCCATTTATATAAATTTTTTACACGAATTAAGAAATATTATTTATGTTATTTAAAAAAGTAATTTTTGCCAATAACTTGCCTAATTTACATTAATTTAGATTTGTATAATTTCAAAATTAAATGAAAAAATTAATTATAATTAGACAAATTAAATAAGAATATATTAGTAAACGAATAAAACAAAGCAAGCTTAATAAAAAAAGACTATATAGTTGAAAGTTGCGACAAGAAAGTAAAGAAAGTAAATTTATATAAATAGGATGGAGAAACTATTTAAAGCTATAAGAAAATAGTAATAAAATTTATTTGTTATTGTTATACCGTCTGTAGAGTACCCCACCCGCGGAAAATTATTCTACACGTAAACACCTTTATATAATACACGGGTATTCCCTGATGACAAATGTATAATTTTTGGTCAGATTTAGGGTTTCTCACTTTACCTCTGTGCGCAGGCACGTATATGCAATAGTTGAATTTAGGGTCTCAAAATTTTAGATAGTTTGTTGGATAGAGGTTAATTTTGATCGGAAGATGCCCCCGAGAACCGCCAAGAAGACGCCGCCGGGACCAGGCACGAAGCGGGCTGCGCGTGCTCGTGCAATGCAGAAGACCCAGGTCCAGCCCGATGAATCGAACGTGAAAGCCAAGGAGGTGGTGGAGGAACAGAAGACCGTGGTTGTGATAGAGGAGAAGGTAGCAGAGCCCGAGAAAGAGGCGAAGGCGAAGAATACTGGAGAGGCTTCCGCTCAGAGTAAGTGAACGATTTTGATGATTGGTAGAATGTGCAAGTTGTTTTTCTGATAGTTTATTTTAGATCCATATAAGTACAAGATGAAACTTTGTTTAATTAGGGCAATATGTACAAACTTCAAATATCTTTGTCAGGGTCGCCCAAACATTCATCGCTTTATTTGTTAATATTTTGAATTAAGAGTATCTTGAACCCAGTCAAGAAGCCTCTTTTATGGGTGTTGGTCTTTAGGGTTTCTCGTTCCGTCAAATTGTATGCTCACAGAGGTCCGTTAACAGGCTATAAGTTGGTTAAAATTGGGGAATCAGGATGGGTTTTTAGATTTGTACTGTAAAGGTGATATTTTATCGGTTGGGTTTGTTGAACGATAAGAAAATGTGTCTTTTGGTGTCGGACTGGTATCCTTCTTTTTTGGAAGTTGTCAATCTGTCTTAAACCTTGCAAAAGTTGTATATAAGAGGATTGTCTAAAGATGGTGGGTAAATTTGAACTTCGCCCTATATTTTTCACATGTAGACTATGTTATTTTGGCAGAGTGATTATTCTAAGCTCCATAAACTTGCCAGATACATATTTTTCGCTCTTCAGCTTGTTTTTCTCCTGTTCCTGAGCTAGGGTGCGGTTTCAGTTTATAAAATTATAGGTTTGGTCTCTTTCTGGCTTACGGGAAAGGAGAGAGATCATAGCTGCAGTCATTTGATTTTAAACACCTTTTCTCTCTGGATTTATGAAACCCTACTGTAGAAAGTTGGTTGCAAATGGTCCTGAACATTTCTGCGGTTTCAGTCAGTTGACTGTCCATTATCTGTATCTCTTTTTCTTGCCTGGCAGAGGATGACGAGGTCAAAGAATCTGTTTATGAATATGAAACGGGTGAACGATTAGATTTGGAGGATAATGAGCCTGATTACGAACCTGAAGAGTACAGTGGTGTAGATTATGATGAGAAGGAAATTGAGCAAGATGCTCAGGAAGAGGGAGACAAAGTAGGTGGAGACTTTGAGGAGGGGGATATTGGTGAAGAAGAAGAGGGTGATATGGTTGAAGAGGAAATGGAAGGTGTGCAGGAAGAACTTGAGCCTGAAGAAGGAGATGAGCATGCTGGAGATGAGCATGCTGAGATGGTTGATGCTGCTGAAGAAGAAGAAGAGCATCATGAAGTTTTTAAAGAAAGGCGCAAGCGGAAGGAATTTGAAATTTTTGTTGGGGGATTGGATAAGGATGCCACTGAGGATGATCTTAGGAAAGTCTTCAGTGAAGTTGGTGAGGTTACTGAAGTCAGACTTATGATGAATCCTCAGACTAAGAAGAATAAAGGATTTGCATTCTTGCGTTTTGCAACGGCAGAACAAGCCAGACGAGCTTGTACTGAGCTGAAGAACCCAGTGGTACTTTCTTAATCATGCTGTTCTCTTAGCTATTTTTTTTTTTTACTGTATTGAATTGTAAATTCTTGACAACCATATTCCAGGTTCATGGAAAGCAATGCGGTGTTACTCCAAGTCAAGACAGTGATACCTTGTTTTTGGGTAACATATGCAAGACATGGACGAAGGAAGCAGTAAGTCGATTAGGAATCCGTAAGCATATTTATGTGCTTTAGATTCGGGGAGTTGCTTAGTCTCTTCTTACTTATATTTGATGTGCTTCCAGTTGAAAGAGAAGTTGAAGCACTATGGTGTGGAGAACATTGACGATTTGACGTTGATTGAAGACGCTAACAACCAAGGGGTGAATCGAGGTTTTGCCTTCTTGGAATTCTCCTCACGATCTGATGCCATGGATGCTTTTAAGCGTCTGCAGAAGAGGGATGTCATGTTTGGAGTTGATAGACCTGCTAAGGTTTCCTTTGCAGATTCCTTCATTGACCCCGGTGATGAAATCATGGCCCAGGTACATACTTGGATGAGCTTTTCTGCTTGGTTGAAAGGATTATGATGCCTGGTTGGTTTAGATCATATTGTAGATCATTGTACACTTGAATTGTGGTGGTAACATTTTGAACAGCTTGAACAACTAGAATTATTTTCTTTTTGATATATTGTCGTTACTTCTATTTGTATGTTTTATAGTAGTTGATTTATATTTTACTTGGTCTTGGTATGAATAGAAAAAGAGTCAAGGCCGAGGTTTAGAATGTTCTGTTTTCTACCTTGCTCTGATATCCATCCACCATATCACCACCTTACTCTTACATGCATGTATTTATTTATTTAAATGTATTTGCAATTATTATTTTTCTTTTGGGAGGTAATAAAGTAGGTCTTTAATTCATATCTCCTTTTGATGCAACATACCTTTTTATGCTGTTGTTACTCATAAGCTTGGTTCAGGTTAAAACTGTGTTTGTGGATGGTCTCCTTGCTTCTTGGGACGAGGATCACATTCGGAAACTTCTTAGAAAATATGGTGCAATTGAAAAAGTCGAGCTAGCCCGCAACATGCCATCTGCTAGGAGAAAGGATTTTGGATTTGTCACGTTTGATACACACGATGCAGCAGTTAATTGTGCTAAAAGCATCAATAATGAGGATTTGGGTGAAGGAGATACTAAGGTTTTGTTCCTAACGATAAGATGTTTCTCTATGTTGTCGTGCCTCTTGCAGCAAGTGCTTAATGGTTATGTATTGCAGGCTAAAGTTAGGGCCAGGCTTTCCAGACCACTCCAAAGAGGTAAAGGTAAACATCCTTCTCAGGGAGATTTTCGGCCTGGCCGTGGGCCGATACGAGGTGTTCGGAGTCCATGGAGCCGTCCAGTTCCACGTAGTATCCCCTTGCACCGAACAAGAGGCTCTGGACCACGTCTGCCACCTGTAGTCGAACGTGGTTTCAGAAGGCCTGCTAGTATTCGAGATAGACGACCAGTTATGACAATGCCTCCAAGGAGCAGACCACCGGCTCCCTTACCGAGGTCCTATGACAGGAGACCGCCTGGTATTTATCGTTGTAAGTTCCATTCAGCTGTAAACTTCTGTCACAGTGTTGACAAATCTTTTTCTGTTCAGTTCCAGTTTATCCCAAGAGTGGTTTGAAGAGGGACTATGGTCACCGTGAGGAGCTTCCCCCTAGGAGCAGGGCTGCCACAGACTATAATTCTAGAGTTCCACCAGATAGACGCTCATCATATAGGGACGACTATTCTCCTCGGGGATCCAGTTACCCTGATCTGCCAAGAGGGGGTGCATCTCGCACTGCAGCAAGAAGACCTTATGTTGATGATACTTACAGTCAAAGGTATGCAAGGCCACCTCCAACTTACCGTGAGGGACGAGGGCGTGAATATGATTCTGTATCTGGGTCAAAACGTCCATATGCTGCAGTGGTAATTTCTCTTTTGGAACATATTTCTGTATAATGCCATTTTCAATCTCATACTTCTGAAACTTCCATCGAAGTGAAATTTGACATTGACTATGCTTGCAAGGACGATGTTCCCCCACGCTATGCTGAGGCAGGAGTGCGCCATTCACGGGCTCGTTTGGATTATGATCTTGGTGGAAGCACTTCTCAATATGGGGATGCTTACAGTGATAGGTCTGTTATCATGTATATGCTTGAAGAACATAAATGTAACTCTGTTTCCTTCTTGGATCCTGTGCCCTTGTTTTTGACTTCACCTTTCTCATATGATTTGCAGGCTTGGTAGATCAAATCTAGGATATGGTGGTAGCCGAAGCTCCCTTTCCAGTCAAGATTCTCATGGGATTTACAGTAGTCGTCAAGGAATGAGCTATGGTGGAGGTACATTCTATAATGCAAATTAACAAGTTTATTGGTTTGAATGAACTGCTTTTGATCTTATGTTCTAAAAAAAAAAAAATATGATTTGCAGGCTTGGTAGATCAAATCTAGGATATGGTGGTAGCCGAAGCTCCCTTTCCAGTCAAGATTCTCATGGGATTTACAGTAGTCGTCAAGGAATGAGCTATGGTGGAGGTACATTCTATAATGCAAATTAACAAGTTTATTGGTTTGAATGAACTGCTTTTGATCTTATGTTCTAAAAAAAAAAATGATTAATTCTTTGGAATATTTGATATGCATGGGTGGTCATTCACGTGACATGTTGTGCATGCTTGTCTTCACTGCAGGCTCTTATGGTGGTAGTGATGTTAGTGGGATGTACTCATCAAGTTATGGTAGTGATTACATGTCCCGTGGAAGTGATGTATGTTTTATTATGATCTTACTTTTCTTCAGAGTCATTACTGTTTTCATGTTCTTTCTAATGCATGCTTGTTTCTGGAACTTTAGGTTGGTGGTAGCTCTTACTCATCACTCTACTCTGGACGGAGCATGGGTGGTAGTAGTTATATGGGTAGTGGTGGTTCCGGGTCATACTATTGAGGTATGCCCTTACGTTGTTTCATATAGTCTTTCTGCAATAGTTAAATAAGGCAAATGGAAGCTTTGTTATTTTATCTATGAATTGTTTTCGTCTAAATCACAATTGCCCAAGTCGTAGCTTACATTTCTTAGTGACAAGAATCGTGCTTGATGGAAAAGGAGCATTGTTGTTACCTTTGATTTGTCTATGGCAGAGATTGGATTGAGAAGAGGCTTCTACAGAATGTAAGATTATTGGAAGGTTGGGAATTTTCATATTCAAGTTTCGGATGAAGCATTGTATGAGTATAAAGCCTCTCTGTGGTTCAATGAGAAGAAACTCAAAGTCAAATTTTAGTAGTACTGGTGTATTACAGCAGACCATCTAAGATCTGCATTTAGGATATTTTATCTTGGTACTTCTCTGCTGTAATGGAACTCTGAGATTTTCAGAGGTTAATAGACTTGTTCAATATGCGCTACCTTATAAATGCATGTTTATTAGTGCTCTCTCCTTGATTTGCTTGTAAAAGAGGTGGTATGTAACATTTGCTTCAGAAGGTGAGCATAATGGAAAACACTGCAAGCTATGTTGCATTTACTTAAGGACCATTGTTTCCATTACCAGATGGATTTTATTGGATGAGCAAGAACTTCCAGTTACAAAGCGTTTTTCTTTTCAATTTATTTTCAAGGTTCTACCCTTGATAATTTGGAGATTCTGGGAACAAGTTGGCTAAGGGCATCTATGAAGCTTTCGCCAAGTTTTCTATGACATTCTCTGATGATTAAGCAATTGTGGATTGACCTTCTTTTACAAATTTTAGACATGAGATGAGTTGGCTTTGTTTTATATATTCAATAAGAAGTTAGAAGATGGGATGTCCTAAATTTGGATCCTTGGGACAACATTTTTTTTTAAGAAGGAACTTGCGTCTTGCTCATTTGAATTAATATGATAAAAGGCTTTGTTCTTCTGGACTTTATTCTATGGCCAAAAGTGTTTGAAAAAGGCAAACTTACCAAGCTAATGGTAGTGATCAGCCTTTTCAAGATCACATATGTTGGGCCTCCATGTGATTTGGCAGGGTACCAACTCTTCTGTTCTTGGTGGCACTGGTTTGTTTAGGTGATTTTACTGTACTGTGCAGTTGTTTCACGTCTTTCTTCAGTACTCATCACGGATCTGTGCTGTATGGTGCTCTTTCCTCGGAATCATTTACGTCAGTGCTAAAGAAAGTATACCAGATTCTACTTGAAATGAAGTTTAAATCCATCAAAATTGTTTGCATCAGTGACATGTAACCGAGTTTCTGATGGACCTATAGTTTCGGTTCACCTGATGATAGGCGTGGACATAGAACATGGTTTTTGGTTTACTTACTGTTGGTGCTGGGCAATTGTGATTGATATTATTCTCCTGTTTAAAAGCTCTGAATGCCTGAAATCTTGTCCCTAAAAACATCGCTCTATGGAGTGCTATATGGGACTAGTAGAGGTTTTCCAAAGGTTACCTGAATTGCAGAGGAACATTTTCACATAAGTCGAACTTCATCATGACCCTTTGGTTTGTGTTGATACTTCATTGCCTAGGATTGTTGAAAGAATTGGGACAAAACTCTCTAAGTAGTTATAATACATCTATAATTTATTGGCCTGGGGGATACGACAATACACTGTTGTACAGTACTGGCTTTTTATGGCTTGCTTGACTAAGCTTTTAAGTAGTGTGCCCCTAGGAATGCATGGTTAAAAATTAGTTAAAAGTTGTGGGTAGTGCGGTTTGTGGATAGGAATAGAGTTCGACAAGCTTGCAAGCAATAGTAAGCTTTCCAAATATGCCCTTAATATGGATCTCCAGATAGGATGTTTGTGGCCGTGTTCATGAGGCTAATATCCGTATTTTACCTCATACTGAAGGTTAGTTTTAGTATAATTAGTTCCCTCATGATTAATTCTTTGGAATATTTGATATGCATGGGTGGTCATTCACGTGACATGTTGTGCATGCTTGTCTTCACTGCAGGCTCTTATGGTGGTAGTGATGTTAGTGGGATGTACTCATCAAGTTATGGTAGTGATTACATGTCCCGTGGAAGTGATGTATGTTTTATTATGATCTTACTTTTCTTCAGAGTCATTACTGTTTTCATGTTCTTTCTAATGCATGCTTGTTTCTGGAACTTTAGGTTGGTGGTAGCTCTTACTCATCACTCTACTCTGGACGGAGCATGGGTGGTAGTAGTTATATGGGTAGTGGTGGTTCCGGGTCATACTATTGAGGTATGCCCTTACGTTGTTTCATATAGTCTTTCTGCAATAGTTAAATAAGGCAAATGGAAGCTTTGTTATTTTATCTATGAATTGTTTTCGTCTAAATCACAATTGCCCAAGTCGTAGCTTACATTTCTTAGTGACAAGAATCGTGCTTGATGGAAAAGGAGCATTGTTGTTACCTTTGATTTGTCTATGGCAGAGATTGGATTGAGAAGAGGCTTCTACAGAATGTAAGATTATTGGAAGGTTGGGAATTTTCATATTCAAGTTTCGGATGAAGCATTGTATGAGTATAAAGCCTCTCTGTGGTTCAATGAGAAGAAACTCAAAGTCAAATTTTAGTAGTACTGGTGTATTACAGCAGACCATCTAAGATCTGCATTTAGGATATTTTATCTTGGTACTTCTCTGCTGTAATGGAACTCTGAGATTTTCAGAGGTTAATAGACTTGTTCAATATGCGCTACCTTATAAATGCATGTTTATTAGTGCTCTCTCCTTGATTTGCTTGTAAAAGAGGTGGTATGTAACATTTGCTTCAGAAGGTGAGCATAATGGAAAACACTGCAAGCTATGTTGCATTTACTTAAGGACCATTGTTTCCATTACCAGATGGATTTTATTGGATGAGCAAGAACTTCCAGTTACAAAGCGTTTTTCTTTTCAATTTATTTTCAAGGTTCTACCCTTGATAATTTGGAGATTCTGGGAACAAGTTGGCTAAGGGCATCTATGAAGCTTTCGCCAAGTTTTCTATGACATTCTCTGATGATTAAGCAATTGTGGATTGACCTTCTTTTACAAATTTTAGACATGAGATGAGTTGGCTTTGTTTTATATATTCAATAAGAAGTTAGAAGATGGGATGTCCTAAATTTGGATCCTTGGGACAACATTTTTTTTTAAGAAGGAACTTGCGTCTTGCTCATTTGAATTAATATGATAAAAGGCTTTGTTCTTCTGGACTTTATTCTATGGCCAAAAGTGTTTGAAAAAGGCAAACTTACCAAGCTAATGGTAGTGATCAGCCTTTTCAAGATCACATATGTTGGGCCTCCATGTGATTTGGCAGGGTACCAACTCTTCTGTTCTTGGTGGCACTGGTTTGTTTAGGTGATTTTACTGTACTGTGCAGTTGTTTCACGTCTTTCTTCAGTACTCATCACGGATCTGTGCTGTATGGTGCTCTTGCCTCGGAATCATTTACGTCAGTGCTAAAGAAAGTATACCAGATTCTACTTGAAATGAAGTTTAAATCCATCAAAATTGTTTGCATCAGTGACATGTAACCGAGTTTCTGATGGACCTATAGTTTCGGTTCACCTGATGATAGGCGTGGACATAGAACATGGTTTTTGGTTTACTTACTGTTGGTGCTGGGCAATTGTGATTGATATTATTCTCCTGTTTAAAAGCTCTGAATGCCTGAAATCTTGTCCCTAAAAACATCGCTCTATGGAGTGCTATATGGGACTAGTAGAGGTTTTCCAAAGGTTACCTGAATTGCAGAGGAACATTTTCACATAAGTCGAACTTCATCATGACCCTTTGGTTTGTGTTGATACTTCATTGCCTAGGATTGTTGAAAGAATTGGGACAAAACTCTCTAAGTAGTTATAATACATCTATAATTTATTGGCCTGGGGGATACGACAATACACTGTTGTACAGTACTGGCTTTTTATGGCTTGCTTGACTAAGCTTTTAAGTAGTGTGCCCCTAGGAATGCATGGTTAAAAATTAGTTAAAAGTTGTGGGTAGTGCGGTTTGTGGATAGGAATAGAGTTCGACAAGCTTGCAAGCAATAGTAAGCTTTCCAAATATGCCCTTAATATGGATCTCCAGATAGGATGTTTGTGGCCGTGTTCATGAGGCTAATATCCGTATTTTACCTCATACTGAAGGTTAGTTTTAGTATAATTAGTTCCCTCGTCAGAAAGGGTAGCATACTTTTCTCCTTTTTTAAATATGTTTTGCATGTCTAGGAACTGTATGATATATGCACTGGGTTGAATATATTTTCTCCCATCATGGAGCTATTATCTTTGTTAAGCTTGTTTGGATGAAGCATCACTTTATGATGTGTTTTACTTGTATTAGGTCGAATCCTACTTTGCAAATCAATTTCTGTTGCGTAGTTAGGAACCAAAAACATGTTTTCATTTGATAAGAATATAATTTGGCTTGTCTTGTGGTGAATTCTGCTTTGACGCATTTCGACTTGACCTCCACTTCCCGTATTTGTTTTACTTTTGCATCCTGTGAAATCATTATTAGCCTGTTGTACACTTGATCCTTTAATGTCTAAGCTGAAGGGTTTAGGAACTCAATTTCTCCGGGAAGCATGGAGGCTTTACAGCATCACTTTTGCTATAGGGTTGTAATTCTTTTATTGTATTAACTTGTGCTTGGGTTTGTAATTCTCTTTGCAACAGAATATAATGAAATGAAATTTATCTTCCTTTCTTTTTTTTTTTTTTTTTTTTAAAATTGAGTGTGTCTAGGTTAAGAAGCTATGATTTTTTGTCATGCTATGATGATTTACTCATTGAAGAATGTGCATGCCTAATTTGGTTCTTGGAAGGTCGTAATTGCTATACACTTTTCGGATTACTTGTTTGGTAACCAATTTAATAAAGAAATATTTTTATTTAGGCAACTCTTTACCAGTATTTGTAAAAACCATATGATTAAACAAGTAAATAAAGAATATGATAAAAAAATTACAAAAAAATAAATTGAAAGCCATGCCACATAACCTCCACAACCTTCCCTCAAAATCACTGACCTGGCATTTATCCTCGAAAGACCAAGTGAAGAACATAAATCTTTCAGTCTAGACATGCAGGTGTTTTTCTGTAATTTACAAGGTTGTGTTGATGACAACTCGTGTTTTCTCCACTTCAAATGTTGTTTTGATTTATTTTTCTGGTATCCTTTTTGTTGATTTCTTTTGGGTTAAGAAGGATTTTGTGGATTTGGTTCTCACATGAAGGGAATGCTCTTAACATTTGATGAGTGTTGTATTTAGAGCTCTGCTTGTCAACAAGAAAAAAATTACAGAACAATGTTGTTTCATCTCGTTGGAGCGCTGGTGGTGGTGGCTGCTTCTACTGACACGGCTGGCGTGGCAGCGATATCAGGGAATAACACCAATCCATGTTCCAGAATTAGGCTAGACTCCACCACTACCACCAGGCCCAATGCAATGGCGGAATTTTAGATAATTCCTGTACCTCAAATCTCTTTTTACTGTCATGGGAAAATGTTCAATGAACGTGTGTGTATTGCCGGAGTTTGTAGCCACCTCACCTAGCCAAGAGCACTCCATTTATGGGGATATGGACGATCCTTCAATGGGCAGCCTGAACAAGGTTCTCGAAATTGGCAATGGCTTGTTGGCAACGACAGCTACAGAGTTCAATGGTGGGTTTGGTGTTGTGCATCAAACGTTTGGTCTACCCAATTCGTTATAGTTTGATATCAATTGGAGACCTTGACATTGAAATAATATTGTAAACCAAAGGGAGCTTTACGATGAGGCGCAAAAGGGACAACTTGGCTTTTCTGCTTTGAGCGAAAGGAACGACCTAACGGTGACGGCTGCCATAGATGCAAGTGACATGGTGAGTACAAATCTTGTGCGTCAATCCACCATAGATTGTGAGTGGGAAGGCGTTGCCTGGTTTTCCTTGACGATGGTTGGAGTTCATGGGTGGCAGTCGAACGAATTGAGTGATAGATAGAGGGAGAACAAATGCAGAATAGATAGATAGATGGTAGAGAGAGAGAGAGCGCGCGCGCCGGGGGGGAGGGGGTGGGTGTTCACAAACTTAGGAATTTTTTGTACTTAATTTTTGAAATGAGAAGTTAAAAAATAGTTTTGTAATTTCCTTTGTAGGGAAGTACATCCAAAACCAATTATAATTTATATTTTGTAATTATATTTATAATTAGTAAATTAAAATTAGGCTCTTCAACATTTTACGTAGAATAGTTATGACTCGTCAATGTCAGTCTATTTTTGGTCTCAACCTATATGAATTTGGAAGTTTGGGTTCCCATGTGTATAAAATCGTCAATTTATTTAGATGTTAAAATTGTTCTCGACTTTAAGTTGAATTGGAGATAAATGTTAAGTGATTTGATAGTTCGGCCGTCTACTACAAGTCATTTGAAAGTCATGCGATATTCAAGTCTAAATTTTCAAGTCCACGACAACGATGTTTTGTATAAGTATGTCTAAATTGTAACATAAATCCATTAATATTTGGGTACATATTATCAAAGATTTTAACTTCTTTTCTTGTTAATACTAATATACAATACTTGCAAATCATTCATACCAAACATGTCATGAATTGTAATATATATGTATATATATATGTATACATAAGTATATGTATGTATGTATGTGTGTGTGCGTGTATTAAGTATCTATATATGAATCTAGATCAAGAAGGATTATTTTGTTATTTCTTGTCTCTGTCCCACTTGGGGTGAAGCTGTCACATGTCCAAGTACAGTTGCATATATGCTTGCACATGCAATGTGTTCCCCGCCAGAATCAAATTACAACTGTCCCACTTGTCTTCACCAGCAAAAACTCAAACCATTCACTTTTCTACAATCAAACCTTTTATTAGAGCCCACTCTCACCATTCATGTCCCTTTCCATATACGGTCTTAGCATCACCCTGTGAATTTTTAGTAACTCTACTGATAAAAGGAGTATTAGAATCTTGCTAGGATAAGAAAAGTTTTTGTTTTCCTTTTTCTTTTTGGGCAACAAACAAGAAAGAGTAGATCGAATCCACTTCCTAAAGTTTTGGCTTTCGTGCTTTATGCCGAGCCATTGAAAGGCGAGTAAAATGCCATAGACAAGACTACCTGGGGGCGGGTCGAGCATTATCAAACTAACTACAATTGTGACGAATCGCTAGATCTAGGAGTATAGCACATAAATTCAAATAATTTACAAAAGAGACTACAATATATGTATATACATATGACTCACTTCCAAATATACCCCAAAACATGGCTAGCTAAAGATCTTAAAAATATAACAGAGAGAAAATAAGGACATGGTACAATTATGGGCTTAAATTGCCAACCCAAAGAAAGAGGAAAAGAAAAGAAAAACTACTACCTCTAAGGCACTAACCTACCTGCATCAAGAATTCAATGACATTGTATGATACATAATACTAGACAATGCAGTAGACAAGATTTTAGCTTCTTCTTTCGTTTGGTACTTTATAGTTGACATTACCAAACACGCTAAAAATGCATTAAGCTTAAACAGCAAGTTGCTGCTGCTGTTGTTGATGGGACGATTCGTCTTCATTGAAACACAAATGGAGGTTTGATGATCTTGCTGTACATAAGGAGGATTCTGCCATGTCAACTTGAGGCTGCATCATTATCATCTCTCTTTGAAGATAAGAACAATATGCATAAAAAGTGTTGGGTTTCACATTCAAATTGAATCCCAATCCAAATAAAAAATCCACTTCAAGAATGTTCATCTCATTTGTGTTGATTCCTCCAACTTTAGCATAGTAAGCATTGTTGTAATATCTGCACATTTTATACCCCACAAATGATATATGTGAGTCATGTTGATTAAATACAAATATCATATTTCGAAATGCTGCATCATAGAAATCGGAAATACAACGAACAAAATAAAAACTAGTTATTTATCTTGATTTTACACAATACACACCATGTCTCGTTGTTTCTAAATATTGTCTAGTACGAAATAGTCGACTTTTCTAAACATACCCAAAAAGAAAATCATTGGTCCAATTTTGCATGCGTTATAGTATTGCATATACTGTTAAATGAAGTATATGACTTCTAAGTCATTGTTGGAATGTAGCTTTCAGAAATGAATGGAAGATTGAGACTTTGATGCGACAATTAGTGGCTGTCTAATTTGAAGAACTGAAAGTATATAATAATAATAATAATAATAATAATAAAGAAATTAATGGAAAGTTGTATTAATCTCTTTGATTTCTGGATCTAACTTATATCTTCTTGAGGTAATCAAGAATTTAACTCAGAAGAACTTAATCACAAACCCTCTAAATGGAAAATTTAAACATTGCTTTAGTTTACTATTTGGGTTCTTGTACAACAATAACAATAATTTAAGTCGACTAAATAAATAATCAATTAAAAAAAATCTTTTTCTGGAGTTCGAGGCGAATTGATGAAAATAAAGAACTAGGATCACAATTGAACACATCAAGAAACTGCATTAATTCCAACATACAAACTAAAATTCCCAAAAAAAATTCGTAGTCCTCTGGATCAAACTGAATTCCAGAAGCATCTACAAGAAAAATATCATAAAAATAACAAAATTTCCTTGAGAGAAAACTTACATGTCATCCATGAATTTTGCAGCAATCATAACACTAGTGATGAGCAGGCGATGAACATTGAAAGAATTGATTGGCAAGGTGGGTTGGCGCTGCGTGAACCGATCAAGATACACATAAGCAACAACGTAACAACAAGGGCTGCAATTTGCATATTTGAAAATTCTGTCCAAATAAGTTTGAATTGAGATAGTTGGTCGTGTTAGGCCGTGAAAGACAGATATTTTTTGGGTTTGGAAACTTGGGTTTAGATCGTTCGACTCGGCAACCCGGTGGAGGAGAGAAGAGAGGAAACTGATGAGCTTAGGCATCACATTTGAGCTCTCTAATTCCGCCATTGTTGATTTGAAGGTGAATCTTGAAAGAGGGATTAATTTGTTATGATGTTGATTATATAAGTGTTTGTTTTTACTGTGCGTATATCTAACAACCTGTACGGTTGTCGTTGGTTGGCAAGGTAGTTGAGTTTACGAAAATGTCCTTGGAAATTTAAAATATGGCTAGAACGTCCTTGTCCATAGTGAAATGATGTGTTAATGGTACTCTTTTGGCTTATTTCACGGTGGTTGCTTAACTTAAAATTGAGATGTGAAAGGGTGAAAAATTGATTATATTGGGCTATGCTTTTTGGTGAGAAAACGAAAATGAAAAAAGTTACATAATTTTAGTAGAGATGATAAAATATTTTCTCTTAGTCTGTTTACGAATTAGGCCAGACGATGGGAACATGTTCTCGACTTCAACTCCTACTCTTATTTTTATTTTTTTCTTTTCTATTTTAAATTTAATTATATTTAAATATAAATAAATAAGTAAACAAATGATAAATAAGGACATTGTTGTCATCACCTTGCAGCCATCCCTAACTTGAAGGATAATAAAGTAAGATATAGTTGGAAGATAAGTATAAGCTAATCATATGTTTATACATGAATCACGGTGAATATGAGGTGAGGATCCACATGAGTTATCTAGCACGTATTCTTTTTTTTTTTTTTTTAATACCCAGGTGTCCACCTTACAGCGACTAATCCTGGGATTTATGATCCAACCCCTCTTCATGCAAACCAAGTAAATCGCGGGTTGTGCCCCAAACAGGCTAGGGTTCAAAAGCCCCCTGAACTGAACTGCCAAAGTGCAGAGCGAGTCAAACCCATGTATGCGCCTTGCCTTCCGAGAAACTCCTGCCTTCCAAAAAATATCCTGCCTTCCTTCTTATTTTAAGGCATGTTTGTCATACACATGGATGACATTGTATTGAATAACTCACAAAGTTTCGACATCTTATTTTTTGTATTAATTTTGCTTTTCTATTAACCAATCTTATTAAAACTTTCCCCGACTTTGTTTGTGAGAAGTCGGTCGAATGTCAATCTTCCCCTTTAAATAGAATGATCGTATCAAAAGAAAGATATAATCAAAACCTGAGTCGTTCAAATGTTAATCTAAGGAAACATCATTTAAACTCATTGGAAACTCTATGAAAAAAGAGCATGAGTTTTGGGCCACTAGCCTGGCTAATAACCAATCCGATTGAATTTTTGACGTATGCTTTCCTCCAAAAGATATTAATAGCAAGCAACACTAATTTTGGTTCGATAGGATCCCATTTTGGGCTTCAATAAACATTTATCACCAGATCGTGTAGAATTTCGCATTCGTAACCACAAATCCGACCAATTAAAAAATTCTTCTTGCTCAAAGCTCGATATAGTGTCATTTAGTACCACGTATCAACATGACACTAATGTACAATTATGTGACACAAGGAGGGCTTGTTTCAATCCACCACAGCATTAGTACATGATTGACTGTAATTAAAATATAATTATTTAGCAGAAAAAATCCAAAAAAATCATAATTATGAGTTGTATTTAGTGATTAAATCTATTACCAAATCCTCAAGCTCAAATCCAAAATTTGTGTTTTAGCTTCAACTTCAACTCCACATGGAAAGATGCAACAAATTTTTTTAATTAATTCTCAAATCAATAATGTGGTTTAGGGCCCGTTTGGTAGCGATTTTGAGAATTGATTTTTTGATCGTTAGAAGAAAAGTGGGGTCCACATGTGAGAGAAGAAGTCAAAAATTACGGCTTGAATAGTAAAATAACGATCAAAAAATTAATTTTTTGGGGCAAAAAATCCCTACCAAATGGGGCCTTAATCTAAATACAATTTTTAAAAGAGAAATTATTTTGTATCAGAATAATATCTTTATAGTGATGTTTTTAATGCAAGAAAGTTGATTTGGCCTTTTCGAGTCACGTGTTCGAAGGTGACTCCTTGAAGAAATAAGAACTTTATATCAATATCTATCTTTATCACATAGTGCATAATAGAGGATATAGTACTAAAAAATAATATATTTAGCCATGTTTAATTTAGTTAAAAATTAGACTTTTAGTATATTTTTGATAAAAATTAGTAAAATGTGTGACTAAAAAGTTGATAAAAATTACAAGTCCCCGTAAAACGTGTAGTTGTAAATGAGTATGAAAAAAAAAAGGAATTTCAAAAAAAGGGAGCCAAATAGGAGCTTAATGTGCAATGACGTGTTTGATAAAGTAAGTGAATATTGGTATACAAAACAAAAGTAAAATTTATTTTGCTCATAAAGTGTACAAGCATGGATCGAGGGCTTGTTTGGTACGAGTCATTGAGTCGGACAAAATTAGATATACGACTAAAAACTTAAATAATATGAAAATTGATTTTTTGATCGTTAGAGAGAAAAGTGAGCCCATATATAAGTGAAGAAATAAAAACTTACAGTTGAAATAGTGAAATAACGATAAAAAAAATCAATTTTTTTGGATGAAAAATTGCTACCAAACAGGGCTATATATTCTCGGAGTTCCGAATAACTAGCTAGGACTTTTAGCCCCCGTTTGGTCCCCATGTAGAAATGAAAAAATAAGTGGAATAGCGTTTTTTTTTTTAAAATGAGTGGTTGAAAATGAAAAAGAGTTTTAGGTTTACGTGTAATATTATTTTATGAAAAATTATGTAGTTGAAAATATGAGAGGGAAAAATGTAATTAAAATTAATGAGGGCCAAACGGGAGCTTATTTTCGGGAGGTATGGCTTGTGCAGTGCCAATGATACAAAAAATTACTATTTTCGCGATCCTTATATTTATGAATTGTTCAGTTTAATTTAACGTACTAGATATGGTAAAAATGTACATGTACAAAGTGTGTCGAATGACAGCTCACTTCAGAATGGATGCAATTATTGGTGACACTTAAAAAATCATGAAATGAAACATAAGTACAAAAAATATTAATACATAGACTTTACAGTAAGTTGTCTATTTTTTTTTCCATATATATTATGTCACTTTAGGACTATCAAGAGGTGAAACTTGAACATGGAATATCATTTTCTTGATGAAGGACCAATTATTGGATGAATTATGAATAATAAGGCGACTAGTCATCCTTTTGTAATAGTTACACTTGTATTGAAAGCTAAGAATTCTGAACATTTATAATTATAGTTATTAAACTTGAATCGGACCGATTGGTTTGATTAAAAAATTGATAAACTAGAGCATGGTTGGATCCGATTAGTATACTTGCATCAATTAACAATCAAACCGACTCATAGACAGAGTCACCCCAGATATTTTGGGGGCTTTATGCCAATTTTAAATACAAGGACTTATTGAAGAAAAATCATCGTATTCTTACTTGAGCCTTCCTATAGAAAGTTTTAATATAATCATGAAGAATTTAATACAAACAACTAAACTTCAAAATTTGAATAGGAAAAAAAAGAAATGTCAAAAGTTAACATACAATACAAATTATAAGTAAGTTTGGTATACTAAACCCCCGTTTGAGCCACATTATTGTAAAAATGAGAACGAAAAATATAGTCGTTATGGACCTCACGTAAGAGATAAAAAGTCAAATACGATGGTCTAATGTGATGGATAACGGTCATATTTTTTATTTTAATGGGGAAATAATGGGGCTCAAATAGGGCCTAAATTATAATGCAATAGCAAAGGGATCTATTCGTTTCTTTGATCATTTTCCCACTGCAACTAATTTAAACAAAATTGAATGTGCATTTCAATGATTTACGTACAAAATAAAAAAAATGTTGACGGAGAGATATTATATAACAAAATAATGAAAATGACGATTAAATACAAATGAGCTCCTGGTTTTATACTAATTCATGCTAAATTAACTTAAAACGAAGAAGTATGAGCACGAACAAAGAATTATTAAATTCAAAGTACCTTTAACAAGCATCTAAAATGTTATTATCATGAGATTAAAGCAACACAATAATGATAACAGCCTATAAACTTTGTTATATATGTTTTGAAGATAAATGATAAATTAAAAAACTTGTAAGGCTACGTAGTGATACTAAACTAATCTGTTAAATTGAATTTTCAAAATTTTAATTCCACATGAGATAATTTATTTCTTGTTTGTTTGAAAAAAATTATAATGGATTATTGTTGGACGTCGAATTTGAGATCTTATGATTGTTTAAATGCTCTTCTTTTTTGATACAAAAATTATTTTGTTTTGATTTTTGATGTGACAATGATCTGTCGATTAATCAATTATCCATAAGTTAAACTTCTAACCATGTGACTGGTGCTTGCAGTATGATAATATACTTCCAACATATTTAATACGTTCTTATCATAATTAATAAGTTCGTGTTACTATCAAGTATCAACAACCAATTTCCATTTATCTGTTTCTTTTATTTATTTATTTGTTTTTGTCATAATTGATATATTTCCGTTATCCATCACATCAAATCGCTAAATTTGAATTTCTATCTTTTGTGTGGGATCCGTAACGATAATTGAAAGTATCGTGGAAATTAAGGATCTGTTCGATAGTGATTATGAAAATTGATTTTTTAATCATTAGAGAGAAAAGTGGATCTCACCTGTAAGTGAAGAAGTAAAAAATGACAGTTAAAATAGTAAAATAACAATAAAAAAATTGATTTTTTAGAATGAAAATTGTTACGAAACGATGGCTAAGCAACATGCCAAGCTGGCTAAAACTTGTTTTTTGTTGGAGTAAAACAAAAGAAAAGCATGTCAATGTCTAATTCAATTTCTGTACGCAACTCTTTTGTTCACTGTATTCACCTCTCAAATTCGTCATCCATGTGCTCTCCATGTGCCTACTCCACCCCGACCATTCGTGTAGAGATGTAAAAGTGATTCGAACCCTCCAAATTTTAATTTTTTTAATATCTTTTATCGTATAAAAATATTTAATTTCAACATTTGATATGACACATGATATCTTGTAGAAATAGATACCCTTTCTTTCCTAATTTTATTCACAGCAACATAATATAACAGCAGAATGGTTAAGATACCACTTAAAAGTAATT